AGCGGGTGCCCACTACTTGAAGTAAGCGAATCCGTCACTTAATTCGTCGTGGGGTTCGGGTTCCAGTTATGCGCAGGCTCAGTCTGTAGATGTTTACATATATGGCCACAAATAAAACAAGAGGAACCTTTTCTAGTTGTATACTTAATAATGATTTATTTGGCAATGGGGATTACAAATAGGGACTTATAAATTAGACCTAACCTAACCTAACAAACTACTCACGTGAGACCGTCGGCAATGCAGCGTACGCTTGTTGTAGAGAGTAAAATAATAATAAATGCAAGAAGTCCAACAAAAATAGAGTTTAGGATATACGGCAAAACAGCGAGTTCCAATGATATAACAAAGTTCAGTTCAGGAAGATGTCCAAAATCGCTTCCACTTGCAATCGTCTGGTTCCACTTGGTACCGGTAACTGTTCTTCTGATCCAAGTAAAAAAAATAGAGAAACCAAAAGATTAGTAATTCTTCTTCCTTTTTAATTTAGGAAGGTTTCAGGTCAACAGCTTTCTGAAGAAAATTCACATTTATCCTAAGTCTATCCGACTGTTAAGACTATACTTCTGTGTGCTGGAGTTCCGATCGGGATCTCTCAGTGTTCCTTCTTCTCTGCTGTGTCTTTTTCCATTCTTTCCTGTTCTCTCTTGTTTCCTTGGATATTCTGGGTATATGTAGGGGATCTGGCTCCACTCTACTCATTCGAATACTCAATTATCATTGGTCCTTTAGCCTCAGGCAACACTCAAAGTCACTGTCCATTCCCGATTTCCTGTGTCCGGTAATCTTTGATGTTGAAAAGAAGTTTCCTTTACTTCTTCAGGTATGTCGACAGCATACCACCCAACTCTCGGGAGAGGGTTAGCTGGTGGTATATATTTGACTATAGGAAATAGAATGTTCAATGGGTCATTAACCTACAGGCTAAATCAGTATTGCATAGTATAGCCTCTTTGGATACGGGATAGTGGATTAATATAAATAAATAATATAGAATAAATTTAAAGGTACTTAAGATTAACTAAAGAAATATACAAAAATACACCCTACTACATCTATATATATATATATATATATATATATATATATATATATAATATATATACATACATGCATACACACATACATACATACGTGTATATATAATTATATATATTTATATATTTTTATATATGTATGTATATATAAGTAAAGTAAATTATGATCTAATTAAGTTGTTCATTTAATTAAGTGAAAATCTGATTATGCTTTTTTTTCTAGAAGAGAAAAGCTGTACATTAATTTTTTAAACATAAAATGAAAAAAGAAAATGTGTATAATTGTTTTCTGTTTTCTTTTCAAATTATTATTAATTATTAAATTTACTCTATTGCTTGTGACTTCTGGTCCTAATGAGAGTCTTTCAAATCGTTTAATTTTAATTTTCTTCTATACTTTTTCGTAACATTTTGAAATTGAATTGAAAAACTTGATTTGTGATTGTGATTGTAAAATTATTTGTTTACGATATTTTAATGGACATAAATAGGACAAAACTCAAAATATGTCAATAATGGAAATAAATTTGAAAAAATGATACTACAATACAATATCTTTTTTCCAGAGCTGTACATGCGTTTGGATGGTAAACCGGCACAAATATTTTGTCCTCACTCAAATTAGTATATGATAGGGCGATTTGTGACAAAACTGCACACGGTGGAAATAAAAGACCGTCTAATGCCGATAAGAATCATTTTTGAATATGTACATCAACCCGATCAATTGCCTTTGCAAAGTCAATGGTGCAAAAATTAATATACTTTACCCACCTCAATGGCCTTAGTAATCGAATCAATCTTGCTAACTAAATATTGGGTAGTCGATGCTCCTTTACTACCACCAAGTTGGTTAGAGTCCAACTTGTTGCTAATGACTTGAGCTATGCATTTTGCTAGAAATGTTTCAAAACCTCGTGCAAAACTGGAGTCTAGGAAACTACTTGCAGATTTAATTTTAGGTAAAGGTAAACAGTCGTAGCTGTTTCCCATATGTGTGGAAACGATCCCTATTTCAAAGCGCAGTTAAAAACTTTAGTTAACGGTGGAGTAATCTTTAAACAGAACAAAATAATTTAATTACGAGCGAAGGAAGTGTAATCTGACTGTAATAGGCCTTCAGAGAAAAAATGAGGTTCCGGGTGGGGTCCATGTGCAAACCTCCAGCCAGTAGTCCGACCGGTAATATTAGAATCGGAGGGTCTTAGTTTAGGTTATATATTTTTTTTCACTCCCAGACTAAATGGTCATTACTAATTACACTATTTGTTTTTTTGCTAAAAAAAGAAAATAAATGTTTATTTTAGGTGATTTGTATTTGGATTAAATTAAGTGCGGCAGTTGAAGAAACATCGGAGGATGGAGAAACTTGGTTAATTTTGCTATATTAATTTCTTCTTTCTCTGTTTAAAGAACATGTCGTATGCCAACTCTCAGAATAGGCCCATTTAATGCGTACTATATGATGTGAACGCTTGTAAAAATGTTGGACCCATTAACACAAATCTAACTATAACATGTAATGGATAATTAAAAAATAATTAACAAACATAGTGGACAATCCCAACTGTCCTAAAGTCTTATTGTAGTTAGACAATTCCCTAACGCTGGTAATGAATCGGTTTTCAAGCAAATAGGGTACATTTCGGAAAATAGGACGCATTATCAAATAATGGGGAATTCCAACATAATAATGACTTTATTCTTATTGGTTGATTCAAAACATACAACATGACCTTGAACTACAAAATGAACCATACCTAAGATATATTATAAAAGATTCAACATATTTCGTAAGAGTCGTGTTGAATAGTCAGTTGGCAGAGGGTCAATATCGAAACTCACCCATAATCCATTCAAAGGTAGGTCTGTTGCGCTCTCTTAATCTTAGTTGCCACTAATTATCAAAATATTTTCCTGAACAATGAACCAGGTTGTAGTGCTAGGAATTGCTCAAATGAATAGGAGGGAGGGCACGTGCTCACGTTAGCAATGTGAGTGTAATTTGGCTGTTTCAGCAGGGTTGGCGGTAAGGATTCTTTTCTCTCCTTTGTGGTGAAGAGCACTACCTTTTTTCAAACGTTAAAAAGGCATTTGCATCATTAAATTATTGTTTTCAATCTGAGAAAAGATACCATAATTATTTTGTTATAGCCTTCAGTATTTTTTACAATTTTGTTTTCATTAAAAAAAATATATGTTTACTTATTTAATTGACTTTACCCTGTGTTTTTGCTCTCAAACGAAGCTCATAGTGATAAGGCAATACATGTATTTTTGTTTTGATGGATTCTAAAATTTTTGACTTAAAAAATAAATAAGGCTGCCAATGTGTATAATTCATTGGTGTTATTACATCCTGTACCAAGCAATAGATTTTAAAATGAAAATGGTTCTTTAATTATTGGCTGCTTTAGCAGTCATGTTATTCACTTTTAGCCTTAAATTTAAGTTGTAGATTATTTTTGGTAGACTGAATGCTCATTATAATTTACATTGTCTATGTTTTTCTGAAAAAAGAAATATAAATGCTAATTTGAAGTGATTTAAAGTAAAAATGATAAATGCAGAGGTTTTCGAAATGCAGGATAATTTTTAAACAAAGTTCGTCCGCCTGTGTTTAATTAATAGCATATGTATGTCGACTCTCAGTGTAGACCTATTTATTGTTATTATTTATTTTGAACGCATTTTACACAAAGTTAAGTGTAAAAAGTAATAGATAAGTTCAACAATGAACAAAAGTTTAAGCTGGGCAATCCCAAATGTCCTAATTTCTTAGTATAGTTTATTTTTCTAAATAAATTATTTCACTATAAATTATAATAATTGGACATTCCAACATGCTAATGAATTGAATCTTATTTGTTGATTGAAAACTTAGAACATGACACATGATACGTTATTATTAGCAAAGATACTGGACATTAGTAAAGGTGATACAGAAGAAGCAGTTGACATAGTTTACCTATGCCAAAAGTTACCTGTCTGTGCGTTCACACTTTTACAGCTCTAGCTTTCTTTTAGTGCAGGTAATTGGTAGAATCTGGAACTATAACAGTTCCCTAGTTGAACTAAGGCTACCAACCTTCTAGGGTTTGTTGATTATTGTGGCCACCCTTCTATCTCATATTGGCCAGGATTGTGTTTTGGTCTTAACTTTATTTAAAAAAATATATGTTCATCAAATGATTATTACTTTAGGTTTTTCACATTAAAAAAAGATATTCTAATAATGCTTTCGGGCCAGAATAATTTGATTCGAGGGCCGCCAATTAAGAGCCAGGGGTGTACAATAGGTTAAAAGTTCGTCTGTTCTTTTAAAATATTTTTTGGAAGGTCAAAAACTTTTTTTTTAAAAATCATATAATAGTGTAAACTAGTTTTTTAAAGAACATTTTTCAGAAACATTATTAGCATACGTCCATTGGTTATGGAATTATAAATGAATAACATAAGATCAAGAATTTAGCTTGAAAGCTTAACTTATTTTTGTGTTTTGTTGGTTATATACACTGACCTGCGTTGTTTGTAATCACTTTAACATGTTTACCGATTCATGGTAGGCGTGGCAGTTAAATGCATAATCTTAACAAAACCACAGTAATTTTTAAAAAAAGTTGTAGAACTTATTAGCATTGGCACAAAATCTTTATTTTCTGTGTCATTTCACCTATCCTGTATCCACCAAAAACCAGGAATTTAAAGCCTAAAAACAATTTGATATGCAAATATAATGTCAGCTGCAGCATTTCCGATTATTTTTAGGGCAAATGTTTTATTAGAGCAATAAAAACATACATGTTGCGAATAATTTGAAAAAGAAAGCGACTCTCTTAATTTGCATAATTAATGACATAAGTTAACTATGAACAGTATGTGACTATTTATGGTTATAGATTTTCAACCCTTCTATTAATATAATGCAAGAGAACATGCATTTGAATAATTTGAAACCTAAATTATGTTTCTATGTACATTAATCGCAGTGATATGCAAATTCGGTGAATATAAGTTCAAATGTCAATTGTAGCATTTCCGTTCATTTTAGGGCGTATGTTTCATTAAAGCATATAGAACATTCATGTTCTCAACAATTTGAAAAAGAAAGCAACTCTCTCCACCAGCAGTTGCCAAGATATCGGACCCCTATATTTTCATTCTTAATGTACATAATTGAGAGCTCTGTTGCATATTAACACTGCATGTGACCATTGTGTGATAATAGGTTTCATCCCTTCTAATAACATAATGCAAAAAAACATGCATTTGACTTAATTGAGACCTAAAATAGGTTTTTATGTACAGAGATAAGCAATTCAGTGAATACAAAGTCAGAGATCAAGTGTAGCATGTCCGTTTATTACTTTGGGCAACCTTTCTATTAGAACAAATAGAAAAATGCATGTTTTCAATAGTTTAAACCAGAAAGTAACTCTCTGTAACCAGCGGTTGGCAAGTTATGAGAACACTATATTTTCAAACTAATTTGCATATTTCATGAGGTGTGACCGAGGTATCTGTTTGTTTAATTAATCCTGTCATTATATGTTTGATTAAATAAGAAAACATTTTGTTTACGAAAGGCCAAATGCGTCGCGTAATAAAAACCAGGGACATACAATCATATCAAGTCAATTTAGATATTTTTTTTTTTAAATTTTGACTGGGACATATTTTACAATAGCTAATCTTACAGTAGCAAATGTCAAAAGGAAAGGCCAAACTTCCAATGATACCGTATAAGTGGGCTAGAAATATTCCTCACAAAGAGGAAATCTTAGGGATTTGAAAGTCTTATTTAATCGAATTCTTCACATCCTGTGAGTTTTTCCTCGCGGATGAATTGTATTTATTCTTCCCGTCGGGAGAGTAGGGGTGGTAGAAGGGCCCCCGACCCCTACAGTAGGGGTCGGGGAATAGCCAGTAACTGGCGCCACTTCTGCATTTGCACCAACAACTGTAAAGATGAAGTGTGGACGTGCACACAGAGGTCACTGATTTCTAAAGTATGGTGACAGGAATGCTTTTATTGCAAGCTAATATAACCACCAGAATACTTAGGATGCGCTGGTAAAATTCAACAATTACAAAACGAATAAGAAGTTTATTTGCGATGATTCTTAAATTTTAAAAGGTATCGAATGTGAAACTTGTTTACATACACAAAGTGGTAAATCCTGTCTCTTATACACATCTAGATGTGTATAAGAGACAGGGATACTCCAAGGAATTTAGAGGGATAAAATTTACTGTGTAAGAGGAGATAATGAACCATACCTGATTGAATTTTTGGTTACAGTTATAGTGAAATTGATGTGGATACAAATTTAAGGTTTGATGCACCTGTTGGAAACATTGACCATGCAGTTTTGGTTTTTGATTTCCTGTTAGAAGGAGTTGTACACTTTAATGATAAGGTTTATTTAAAATTTAATATCTTCTTTCTTCAAAGAGGACTTTGATTCTGTGAATGCGCAATTGGCTTATGTAAATTGGAAATGTTTATTTTAAAATAAATCAGTTTACGAAATTTGGAAAACCTTTTGTTTAATAGATAAATATGTTCTTTCGTAATCTTGGTTGTATAACATTCTTAAAAATGTTAAATACTTCTGTATCAATGTATGTAAGTTGGTTTGTTTTGTCTATCTTTAGCTTACAATTGATATTTTCCTGAAAACGAGTCAAGTTATTTTTTTTATTGTACTTTCAACGAATTTAAGTCTACTATTATTGACCTAACTTAATGTTTATGGTGTTTTTTTTTTGTCTTTATTATGATTCTTGTATTTTTATTTTACTTATAAAAGAATTACAACCAGATTTAGATAAGAGGAAAAAATCTTTACAGTAACTTTGTACCTCAAAAAATAAAAGAGAATAAACAACATTCTTAGCATATCAACATACACAGGTTATAAGTAATTATCCTGATTAAACAGCCTACAAACTAAATTTAGAATTAACCAATATTGCATTACCCTTGCTTGTCATTTACACAATAATCAGCATTAATTTGTTAAGCTATTAAGTTAGTGTTCTCCCAAGGGCAATTAGCTGTAACGGTCCTTTTACAGCTTCATTCAGAAAAAAAAAGTTTATCGTTGAAGCTTAATTATACCGATACATCTTGGCAAATGTTAACTTTATCAATTGTTTATAAACTATCGTCAGATTACAGGCCTGGGTAACGATGTTTTTAAGAAACATTGTCTACAACATATACAATTTCAAAACACAAGGGAAATTCATTTTGAAAATAACAAAGATAAAATGTAAGCCAGTATCAAAAGAATCACAAGTATAAACAATGATGCCATGGAATCATGATTCACTGTACTGCATGTGCTAAGCTTAGGCCTACACAATTCTATGACTAATTCCTCCTACAAATTCAATATTCCTACATCATTCTTTCCATTTCAACCTTTTAAAACACAGTTTATTATTTGGAGTTCCATAGATA